TGAGTGACAGTTCACAGCATGGTTGTGTTTTCCCCTCTGCTTGGGCTTCAGCCACCTGCTACTGTTTGCTGATAAGGGCTCTTCCTGATTCAGCCCAATGGCTAGTGCTCAGTTGGGAGGAGGAAAACTGACCCAGACTGTGTCAGGATCACTTACCTTCTCTCACACACAGGGTAGGGCTTCAGTTCCTATGTGAGCCTAGCCTAACACAGTGGGGATGGGGTATCTTAGTTCCAGTGTCGGCTATAAAGGCACTCTCCTCCTTGGTCCCTGTGCATTCAAAGAGTCCTCTGTGGGGTGCAAGGTGCTTCACCCATTCAAAACTGTTCAAGGTGCCTGCGATTACTGGTGGCTGGGTCCATATTCTCTGTTTCACGCAGTGAGAGAGGCACAGGTCAACTACTCCCCAGTTGCCATCTTGAATGTTAAGTTTCAGATATTTACATTTCTAGTAAACACTCCATGTAATGTATATGCACATTAAAGTTTGAGGACCATTGTAGAAGATATAGAATCAATAAATTAACAAATGCTACCCAAACATTATAAAAATCTGTTTTTAAAACTTCTATATAATGTTTAAAGATTAAAGTTAAAATCACTCTTGTAAGGGAAAATCAGCAAACTTTACAACTCTAAATCCTAATTCTGCCTGTAGACTTTAAGATTTTGGATTTTAAATTATTAATTTAGAACATTGTCTTTCAAAAATGGTATTATATCACATTGTAGTTTATCAATATAGGTGTCAGATTCTAGCTCTTTCATGTAGGTAACTTTTAGTAAATCATTGCTGCAGAGATCCAAATGGTACACCAGTCATTGGGTTGGAAAAAGAAATTTATGCCGGGTTTAGTGGCTCAGCCCGTAATCCCAGTATTTTGAGAGGCCAAGGCGAGTGGATTGCCTGAGCCTGTGGGTTCGAGACCAGCCTGGGCAACTTGGCGAGACCTCGTCTTGACAATAAAATAAAAAATAGCCAGGCGTGGTAGTGCACGTCTGTAGTTCCGGCTACTTGGAAGGCTGAGGTGGAAGGATCACTGGAGCCCAGGAGGTTGATGGGGTGGCCGTGAACATGCATGCCACTGCACTCCAGCCTGGGCAAAGGAGTGAGACTCCAACTCAAAAAAAAAAAAAAAAAAAAGAAACTTAGGATGATTGTTGGTTGACAACTTATTCCATGAGACACTTTAATGAGGTTTTGTAGACAGTGACACATACACAGAGCAGTATATAAACATATTCAGAGTTATCTTACATATCTTTACAATGATGAATTCCTGGTTTCTCAGATGAAGGACGTGGGGAATAAAGATTAATATAAAAACATGTCAATTCTGGGGATACAGAAAGAGCTAAAATATATTATATTATTTTGCCCCTTCACCTTGCTATAGTCAATGTTCATTTCTCAGCCCTCATTTTACTTGACCTACTAACAGCAGTTGTCACATCATTCCTTCCTCCTTCACTTTCTTCACTTGTCTTCTGATTCCTTTTATGTATCTGGCCCCTGTTCTCAGTCTCATTTGCTGATTCTTCCCATCTTCCCTCCCTCTGAGAGTTGGAGTATTCCAAAACTCAGTCATTGTATCATTTCTCTATTTAAACTTGCTCCCTGGAGCAGCACAGTCTAATAGAAAAATAATGTGAGCCACAAACACAAGGCACACAGGTAATTTGAAACTTTCTAGTAACTACATGAAATATATAGAGAGAAACTGGTAGAATTCATACATCTGATTAAACCCAGTGTATCCCAAATAACATTTTATTTTATTTTATTTTTATTTATTCTTTGAGTTAGAGTCTCACTCTGTTGCCCAGACTGGAGTGCAGTGGCCGCTCCCGGCCACTGCAGCTTTGACCCACTGGGCTCTGGCGATCCTTCCACCTCAGCCTTCCGAGTAGCTGGAATTACAGGCATGCACTACCATGCCCGGCTGATTTTTTGATTTTTTTATTGTAGAGATGAGGTCTTGCCAAATTGCCCAGGCGAGTCTCGAACCCGCGGGCTCAGGCAATCCACTCACCTCAGCCTCCCAAAGCGTAGGATTACAGGCTGAACCACAGAGCCTGGCTAACATTTTAATAATATAAAATATTAATGTGATATTTTTCGTTATTTTATTTTGATATTCAGTCTTCCAAATCCAACATGTTATACTTACAGCATATCTCAGTTCACACTAGCCACATTTCATGTGTTCAATAGCCACATGTGGCTGATGGCTGTTGACTTGAACAGCATGGTCCTAGATGATCTCATCCAAACCCTTAACTTAAAATGCCATCTACATACTGAATGTTGACTACTCTCAAACTTTTATTTCTTGCTTGAACTTCTCTCCTGAACTCCAGATGCAGATAGGTCTGTGAATGAAATCACTTCTTAGATGTTTAACGCGAATGTCTAACTTATCGTGCCCAACACTGAAATCTTGGTCTCCAATTTGCCCTTCTCCATCTCAGTTACCAGCAACTCCATAATTTCAGTGCCCAGGCCAAAACTGTTAGAGTCGACCTTGACTCTTCATCTCAAACCTTACATTCAATCTATAACTCTTGTGACACTATTAGTTCTATGTTCAAAAGACATCCAGAGTCTGATTCCATATCTTCATTCCATATCTTCTGCTACCAGTAGCATCGTCCAGACTCCCATTATCTGAGTTTATTGCAATAGCATCCAAACTCATCCCCACAGTCCTTTCTTCTCATAGCAGCCAGATGTTTTTTAAATAACATAAGCCAGATTATGTCACTTATCAGCTCAAAAGTCCCCAGTGGCTCCTGATCTCACTCAGAGTAAAAGCCAGAGTCCTTCCAATGACCTTCAGAATGCCGCAGGATCTGGCTCCTTGTTACTTCTCTGACTTCACCTCCTACTGTTCTCCTCCTTGCTCATTTCATTCTAACCAACCTTGCCTCCTTTTCCTTTAAAACGTCAGTCATACTCTAGCTTGAGGGCCTCTGGATTTGCTATACCTCAGTTATCTCATGGCTCATCCCTTTATCTCTTTCAAGTCTTTGCTGAAGTGTCATCTTCTCAGGGAATCGCTGGAATGAATGGTACGACATGACATGACAGAATAGGTGCCATAAGAGTCAGATCATCTTTTAATAGAAGGTAACACAAAGCTAACTTTCAAAGTTTATTGAATACCTATTATGTAGAACAGACTTGTATATAATTAGTGAAGGGAAACGTTGAAATAATCTTGTTGTTTTAGGAGGTGTTCTTAAACATTTTTAGCACATGGTGGAACAAACAGCTGACTTCCTTAGTCACCAAGAAAGCAGTGTCCATTAGCAAACAGGAATACCTCCTCAGATATCCTGGGGTTTCCTCCTTCTAGGCAATCATCATCTCTAAACATAATTCTTTAATCCAGGCAATATTTAAATAACTACACTATTCGAACATTTGGTTCTAGTCCTAGCTGTACTTTTAACTTGATGGGTGACTGTATAAATCACTATTGTGATTCTTTTATTCCTGCGATAGCATGTCTAATCTCACTCAGTTCCCAATTCATGCTGAGATCACAGGACAATATATACTTGGGTATTATAAGTTGGCACAATTTTGTGTGCATTGTGGAGCTTGAGAAAAAAAATTTTTTTTTAAATCTAAGATTTCTATATCAGGACTATTTAAAACTAGCCTTCCGTTCATGGTAAACTTAGTCTTTGGTCTCTTCTTCTCTCTTTTTAAACTGCAATTTTAACTTAACCTTTCTTCTCCAATTGAACTCATAGCCTATTTTACTTCACATCTGCTGGTTTTTCAGTCCAACCTAGCTCAAAACAAAGGAGAAACATAATCAACCTTAGTAATCAACCTGACACATTAAAACATGTAGTTCACCTCAGGAATGAATTTGAAGGTTGGAGCGTAGGGAGAAAAAATGGAGGATTAAGGGAGCAGATGTGGGGGGGAAAAGGAAGCATAGTAATACTAAATATACAAACAGTGCTCAATTCAATCTAACATGCGTTTATGGGGTGCAAAGTTCTGTGCTAGTCATTTTAGTAAAGCCAAGATGAACAGGATCCATGATGAGTCTTTGCCATCAAGGAATTGGGACCTGAGCTCAAAAGCAGACAAATTATTAAAATATCATGCAGAGTACATTAAGGAAACACAAGGCAAAAAAAAAAAAAAAACTGATCTTAATCAGGACGTTTCAATGTGCCAGGGCGGGCACATATATTAACAACACTCCCACAAATTCCAGGTGAACTCAGGGGGAATGGGTAACTTGTTCAAGGTCACTAAAGCTAGCAAGTTGGTGTAGACTGGCTTTGTCTCCAGCCGAAGCTCTGATGCTTAGGCTCCTTTCAGAGCACCATTGCTAAAGCTCCAAGGAGGGCAAGAAGGGAAAAATATGGTTTGACTGGATAAGTCCCAATCGCAGTCGAGGGAACAAGAGATCAGAAAAGCTATTTGGAGGTGGCGTGTGTGAAGGGCCTGGAAGGATTGGGCAGGAACCAGTGTGGGAAAGGGGAGGGACTTTTCGGGGTAAGGCTGTAATAAGAACAATTAGCTAGTCTCACAATTCCTTGAGTCGTCGAGGGGTCAATCCAGGTTGAACAACTGGCGTCCTGTGTGTCCTTCCCTTCCCCCCGTCTTTTCCTTTGGGGCTTTTCGGTGCTCACTGATACCACCATTGGGCACCCGTTATTTTTGTAATTTGGAAAAAACCCAGTATTTTAAAAGCACTGGATCCCTTGGACAGAGGGCAGGGGCCTGGCCCCTCCCACCCTCCGCTCGGCCACCAACCGGGGTCGCCGACCCCGGCAGGGCGCCCTCTCCGCGGACTCCCCGCTCGCGGGGCCGGCCGAGCCCTGGGAGGCAAGGGCC